ATTTTGAAAATGGTAAACTAAAATATGAGCCACTCGACAATAGTCAATTCTATTCATAATGATCGTGAAAATTACACTGTAGCTTTAAATACACAAAACACAGAGAGCAATAAATTTCTTGACATAATTCACCATGCGTCACTTTTCATTGCCACGAAATCCTAGGAAATCTCAAAATGAAACGTGAAATAAATATAGAAATAAAATCTTCGCTAACAATAACCTACAAATAAATCCACCCTAAGATTTACGTACTGATATATTTAAAAAAAATTTCTAACATTTCATATATTTGACGCAACAATGTTGCTAGCATACATACGAAGGTATCGTGCTTTCCTTTTTACCGTCTCCCATTCGACCGCGTTAAATTGTCAAACTCAGAGTCCGTGAAATTTCGTTACACACCGTACTATTACGAAATCTCCTGAATCATTAACTACTTATTTGGCTACCCGTGCAATTTTCAGTAACCCACTCTAAACATCAGGTTACACACGTCCGCCGTCAGACTGTTCGATTTTTCCAACTATTTATAGCAAATAGCAGGAAAAGTTCACTACAACCCAATATCCTCGAACTACAAAACTCAACTTCTGAAGAGATTTTACACAACCTGGCTGCGCCAACTGGTTCTGGTCATATTTGTAGCACAAGGGTAGCTCGCGAGCGATAAGATTCTTATTTTATATTCGGCAAGAAAATACACGGTAACCAACGACGCCGGCGATAAAATTCACCATTGAACCGGGCAAGAAACGCCCGGCTAGCTTTTTCTCCGATCGAAATTTCCATTTAGAAGCTATTTCGAAGCGGCGCACGAGCGCGCGCGTTTGCTCAGGCTTGGCAAACACCATCAACTTTTAGTTGGTTAACTGTTCAGTTGCATCGAGCGCAGAGGGAGAGAGAGAGGCGATGCACAAGCGTGAAACCGCGCGTGCATTCAACTAGTTAGTTGGACAACTAAAAAGTTTGCACTCCGTTGCAAACCATGGCCAACTAAACGGTCGGTCAACTGCGGCGCAGCTTTCGCGTTCCAACGCGCTTATGCTACCCGAGCAAATAATTGACCACTTCGCGCGCGTCTCGCCGTCGCATCCCTTATTTTTCCGCCTCTGTTGCTCCATTCGATTCGCTCGAACGTGGTAAACGAATTGAGAAGTGTTATTTTAGTGGAGAAGCTGAAGGTCTTTGTGACGAGATGTTTCAGTGCGGGAGGAAATGAAGTTGCTCGTTTCGTGGCTTGCGAGGTTGACTTTTTCGTGGTTGTAGGTAGGACAGATGTGACTTATTGTGATTTAAATGGTAGATGAAAATTTCGAGGATACTTTTTATAATAGTTTAGTGTATTTTAGGGGATGAAGGTTCGTGAACACGAAAATAAATGTATCTTGGAGATAGATCTGTTGTATTTTTCTTTTACAACAGAGTTTTTACATTTAACCCTTTCACAGCAGGTAGGAAAAGAATTCGAGCCATCAAGGGTAGAATTACATGTAGTATGAAACAAAAGTACTGCCATTTTTTTGTAAATTTTAGTCATTTTAGCCATTTAACAAGGTTGCTAATTTATGAAGATACGGGTTTTCCATTTAAGCATCTTCCATTCCACTATAATAAATTATTAAACTTAGAGTTGAGAAACTTTAGTTAGAGGAAAACCGTATACTTAAGGTTTAAATTGCAATATCTCTGTAATTTGTAAAACAAATTGTGTAATCAAAACTGTATTTATTAAATGCTTTCATAATAAACGAAAAATGACACAAATAAAATTAAAAAATTGTACCTTAGTACTTAGATTAATCTATTTCGATCTGAAAGAGTTAACATTCTCGATTTAATAGCCGTTACAGAGACTCAAACAGAATTTCGCATCGGCCAAAGGATATTCAAACTTCCAAATTAATATTCATTTAAAAAACCAAAAATTCAACGTTCACAATCAGAACATAGAATCACAATCCCAGGATAAATTCAGAATCCCAAACGCTAATCACAATGTACACAATCTAATTACAACTAGCCCTCAAAAACACAATTCCAAGATAACCTCCAAAGCATAATATTGCAAAACCGAAAATTACAACGACCAGAATTTCACATGTCGTTTATTACCCCTGGCACTCTCTCCTCAACAACGCCAATAAAACTAATTACACAAACTTTCAAGTACCCCCGGAGCAATGCTTCCATTTATCACACAGCCAACTCCCCCAGTCACAACATCCCCAAAAATCCGCCTCCAAAGGCAATTCCCCATCTACGTCACGATCAAAATCCCCGACAATGCACTCCCCTACATCGGTGCTCGAACTCACGGCGGCAGGAAGCCGGCTCGCGAGTTACCATTTTGCCCGGAAACCGCGAGGAGCACCTCGTCTCAGGGTACGAACCGCTACGGCATAGCATTCCGCGCGAGATTCCTTCGAACGAGTCGAGGGTGCTCTCTCCCGCATGGTACATCGGTTCCTCGAATCTTTTGTCGCTTTCCTCTCCCACGGTGTAGTAGAAGAAGGAGAAGGAGGAGGAGTAGGAGCGTATCGTATGGAAAAGGAGAAGCAAGGTGGTAGTGGTGGCAGTAGGAGGAAGAGGAAGAAGAGGGTCGTGGATACGGGGTAGAAGAAGAAGGGGGGACGTTGGTTTGCAGGACGAAATTTGCAAATGCTCCCGACAAGCCAGCCACGAGAGAGAAACTCGCGAAGAGAGGAGTAGGGCGGGAGGGAGGAAGAGGGTTGTATATCAAGCAGAAATGCGCGCGGTGCCAGGGATATGGCGGTAAAAGAGCGACGAAAAAGTGTCGCTTCGACAAAGGGTGCAAGCTGGAGAAGAGAAAAGGGGGGGGTGGCAGTCGGTGAGGGAAGGATAGAGGACGAGAAAAGAGGAGGAATGGAAGCGGTGAGTGGCAGAGAGGGAAACGGCGGGGGTGGAATCCAACGGTAGAGAGAGGTGGTTCGAGCGTGCGCGCATCATTTTTGCCGAGGAGCAGGCACTTCCCTTATTCGTCGTCGCCGGGGGAACCGGCAGGGAAACGGGGGTAGAAGAACCGAGAGGCGAGGAAGAAAATGACGGATAAAGAAGCTTCGAGGGGAGGCTGCGGGAACTGGGCTTTGTCGATTCCCGGGTATTTAACGGAAATACCAACCGGAATACCTTCGTCCCCGTTCCTCTTTATCTCCTTTCCTTCCTTTCTCCCTCACGGTTACGCACAGCCATCTTCTTCTTCTTCTTCTTCTTCTTCTTCTTCGGCAGATTTTTCTGCGCCTCTCTGTCGCTCTTTCACGAGGAATGAATAATTCGAACGTGTGTCGAGACAAGCTGGACCTACCGCGTTAACCGACTGAACGATTTATTGAAAAGAGACGATGCAGAGAGGACGTTAGCTGTGATCTGGTGTTTCGGGGGAAACGAGAGGACGTTCTGGTGAATCGCTGCAAGGTTTGATCGTGCAGAATATGATTATATTGCGAAGTAGACAGCTGTTTCTTCTTTGGAACAAGTTTCTTTTCTTCAGGCGTGAAGGAGGAAGTGAGTTCTCTTTTAGATGTCTGTTTTTTTTTAAAAGAGCGTGCTTTCAGTTTCACTAATTGCATTCGCGTGGTACAGGGACTATATGTAGGTTTTCCGATGATGAAAATGGCGGCGTTTCGCTGACACAGATTTTCTGCTTGTGATTTAGTTTGAATGAGAGATATGTGTATAGTTTGATGTTTTGTAATGTATTTGTACTTCTGTCGACGTGACAGTTCTTCGTGATAAAATAGAGTTACTACTTGCAGCTGACGGAAAAATTAAAAATATGCAAATAATTTTGGCAAATTTATCTTTTTAATAGATTTTGTAAATTTAGTTACTCATTTAACTCGAAATTGTTAGCAGCAAAATATTCTTTTTATATTCGTACTAAGAACAATTGTATACATTCTATATGTTTTAAAATTTGTTTCACTGTTCGAGAATTTTCGTCCCCAAAAGTCGAAATCTTAATTGTAATTAACAGCGACTGAATAATATTTATTCGACAATTTTATGTAGAAAAAATTGTACACATTCGATGCTTCAGTAACTACTTCCCACAGTGAAAGATCGTAAAATTTCTACCCTAAAATAATCATAAAACACTAGAACACGTGAGTCTATATTATCTTCGAATCCAGCCTATCAAACCGTTCTTCACATCACCATTAACATAAATGCTAAATGCATCCTAAAAATTTCACAGTATGCACTCCATTCCTCAACGTAAAACGACCATTCCCACCCACCCATAAAGAACAATTCCCAACATAACGTCAAATCAAACGTTACAAGAGAAACAATGTACACTTCAACTTCTCCTAACTCCAAACAGCATTGTTCACTCTCTTGTCAGAGTGAATGCTAAACCACGTCACTTAACTCCGCTAACCATAAGGTCGCCGATAAAATTTCGTAACCGAATTGTATTTTGTTTAAATTTCTCATTGAGATTAATTTTTCTTCGAGTAGGTACTCCAGTAGGACTCATACGTCCTAATAGTTACGGAAGGGTAAAATACAGGATCCAGCAAAAAGATCTGACTGTCTGTTCAAGTGGTTCTAGATCGTCATGGTTAGTTATCAGTTTAAATTGCAAGTTCTTTGGAATAAGAATTCAAGTTTGTTTCTGTATTAACCCTTTGCCTTACGATTTTTTAACGGTTATGTATGTTATCTTCGACTATTCACTGTTTTGAAACAGACGTTCTATTTAATAATCTAAAGTTAGAGTAAAAATATATACTTTATAGAAATACAATTCTCCTTTTGTTACTCCTTGGCTATAATCTGCAACGCTACTGTGACTCGTTATTATCAGACAAGGGATTAATCCAGGAACACGTGCTTGACTTGAATATTTGGAGAAGAAATCGACTCTTTTTGCTAGGCCCTATACTCTGTATTTTCCACTGATTTTAACCTTTCATTTGCTCAACAAGCAGAAACGAATCACCCATTCGAAATCCATCGAAACTACTCACCGAGCCTCTTAGAGATCTCCGAGTTGTGCATCTTCGGGTTCTCCTGCGCGATCTTCCGCCGCTGCAGCCGGGACCAGACCATGAACGCGTTCATCGGCCTCTTGATATGCTCCACCTGCGCCTTCTTCGTGGTCGGGCCAAGAGGGCTGCCGAGTCCAACCCCCATGGGGCCAACCCCCGCGCCACCGGGTGGCGACGTACCCGACATGCCCTGCATACCGCGCAGGGTCTCCGTGAACGAGCCGTCGCACATGTTGCCGCCGGCTCTGTAATTAAACGCAGCCACCAATTAGTAAGCCCAACGGCCACGTTAATAGGGGGACACGCCCACGTGAAAACAACCGCGACGACCGACAGTCCAACTGACCGACCAGACCCTCAGGAGATCCACTCTCTGTCTCTATGTGTGTGTGTGTGTGTGTGTATAAGAGGACACAGAGGAGGGTCTATTGTTTCGAGATCCGTCGGAGACGGACTTGTGATTTACGATGTTAGCGACGTTACCTCGGTTATTTAATCGCTCACTGGGTAATTCAAAGCATATTTTTGGTGCTTAGATGCTTTCTATCGACGAGTCTCGAGATGGTTCCCTTTGAAGAGGTGGTTTGTGAACGAGGTGAAGATCGAGAAAGTAAATTTGTGGTATTTTGAATGTTTAGGGATATTTTTCAAGTTTAACGTCTGAGTATGAATTTTGTTTAACGTTTACATTGATTAAATAAGCAAGTACTGTTTTACTGAAAACTGTGCATCCTTGTGAAGCTTTTTGAAGTTTAAGGACTATCTGTTTTTTTAATATCTGAATATGATTCTTGTTTAATTTTTACATTGTGAAAATAAAGAAACGCCATTCGCTGAGAACTGTGTAAGTTTTCTGCGAGTTCGGAGATCATTTTTGTTTAATATCTAAAACTGAGTATTATTTAACTTTTGCATTGAGAAAATAAGTAAGTACCATTCGTTGAGAACTGTGCACTCTTACGAAGTTTGAAAGTGAACACGGTATGTTTAATGTTTGAATATAATTTCTGTACGATTGTTGTATTGAGAAGTAAATATACGTTCTCTTACAAAATACGTGAAGTAATGATTCAATAATGTTTCCAGTATTCCGCGGTGCAATTTAGAACGATGAAGATATCACTTTTCCGTAGCGCAATTTAATACAGTTTTTCAATGTTTTTTTCACAGTATCCTCTGAATTGTACAAGCTATCAACGTAATTAGTACCGCCACAGGAGTGGCAAACAATCTTCCGAATAACCGACTGGCAATTTTCTCTTCATCGTAACGAAACAGCCGCGAATCCTGCCGGCGCGGCCTGTCAGGAACGAGATTAAAATCATTAAGAAAGTGCTGAATAACCTTCCAAATTGACAGACTCGTTACATCAATCATTTCGTTTCATTCATCTGAAACGCAACAAGTTACTTGACCAAACCCACGAACATCCACCTTTCACAACCAGTTACAAAACGGCCACTCGAAAGAACCGCGCGGAAACATCAAGCCGAAATTCTTCTTTTACTTTCGAAAACCGTGAAGAGAAGAAAAAAGAAGGAAAAAAGAGAACTACAACCACCGAAACGAACAATATAAATTCCTCGAGCTAATTAGAGGATCACACAAATGAATAGACATTATCATCGAACAATACCGCATATATTCAATACAAATGTCATTCCATCGCTTATCACACAGATCCAAATGAATGGGCGACACCTATAATTAGCTGGACACCGTTCTCGAAAATCCTCCATCTATAAATCGCTCGAGAAACGAATTTCCACCGGTCACCGGTACGATAATCCACACACACACTCATATAAATTCCAACAGTATTCGTGGCTTTTAATTGTGCGCCAGCGACACGCAGAAGAACACCAAGCGAGGGCACTCGTGCAACCACTCCTCACGGTTCTGGTAATTGCTTATTCGTTTGCTCTTTGATTCATAAGCAAATTAATCTTATCCTTTTCTCGTATCAAAGCCATTAACCAATCTCACCACGTTCCTACTTCTCTCTCTTTCTCTCTTCATCTTTTTACCCTAAATGTCACCCTTCGTTTAGGGCGTTCTCCCTCTCTCTCTCTCTCCCGTTTCCTTTCCAACCCCTTGGAATCTCTACTCTACCGAGTTTCTCTCCTCTCGAACTAACACAATTACGCGGATCTCCTTGAGCATTCATTAAGAAAGAAAAAAAGAGAGAGAAAAAAACCTGTAGTGGTTGAGGGAGTTAACCCGGGGGCGGTAGTTACGATTTTGTAGGGTTAGAATCACCCTCGGGACAGGGGCCACCCTCGAGTGTCATTCAGGCCGGATTAATAGATACGTTGGTTAGAGGAGACGTTTCGACGGGTGTGTGGAGGAGGAGGGGGCCGGAACGAGCCGCTCGCTGCTCTAGAGAGGCAGCCCCAATGGTCCTCGGGGGTGGTTCAACGGAGAGAGAGAAGATGCTGGAAGTAATGGCTGTTGACAAGCTGCGACGGGGGATTAGGAAGTGCTAATTGAATGTTTAGGCGACGGACTGACTATAGCTGTGCACGCGGCAATTTATTGCTCTAGACGTTCGACGATCTGTTAATCGTGAAAGTATTTGCCCGTGCTCTTCGAGTAAGCTCGCAGAAGATGCTCCGTTGAAACGTCGATTTACATTTTGACGAAACCGTGAGAATTTTTTTTATTGGGACGAGTTTAAAATGTTTGAACACGTGGATTTTGGAATATATGTTACAGCTGATTCGATGTTCCGTGGCGATATTCAGGGAACAAGTGAGTGGGTCACCGTCGCCGTTGATAAATACGTATGTAGACAACTGTGTTTATAACCTCGACACGGACAGGAATGTTGGTATGGTTAGTTTATGGGAAGGTTCGCTTTGCCGCGTTTCAACGAAGACAATAGAACGTTTCGTAATTATGATACCGATTTGATCGCGTAATTTAGATTAATAGTTTGATTTAGTAGGAATTTCTAAAGTTCATTGTGTGGTAAAAGGTTATGTTTAAAAATATATCAAATTCTTCATTTTATAGCTATTAAAACTTGAAGAGGATTATCTTCACTTTCGAAGTCACTTTTCTAACACCTCTCTTCTCTTCGTTGAATTTATCTGAATCTTCAATTTTTGACTAATTCCAACACTCTTAATTTTTCGACAAAAATATGCTTCGGAACTTTCGCATAATCATCCAAGCACACGAAACTCTCGATAAACATATCAACGGTGCAATCACAGCCTAGACACATATCATAAAGTGTTAACTCGTTCAAACACTCTAACACAAATCTCCACTAATTTTCAAATGAAAATACACTTCAGAGCTTCCTCGTAATCATTCAAGTACTCTCAATCTTTCCAAATAACATACCAAACAGCCCAATCTCAAACTAGACTCACCTCATAAAGTGGCCGGCGGCCCGTTGGTGCAAGTCCAGCTCAATTTTGCTGCCGTGGTTGAGACTCTCGTCTCACCTGGTCCTCGACGAAAGATCTTCGAGAGAAAATACGCGATCGCTATACGCGGGAAAAAACCAACAACCAACAATCAGTTAAGTCACTACACTGTCATATCAGGCCATCCACTCGAGTCTCAGGTAAATACACTGTGCTTCTTCACGCTATAAACCACTTTCCTCCTCGTTTACCGATCAGACAACCGCGCCGCGACACACGATAAAGTCCAACGACGGCATCCTTCACCGATCAAATGGTAACAATGTCAATAACGACCAATTTTCCAAACGTTCCAGACAAAAGAACTGTACTAGAGAGGGACAGTAATCACGTACGACGACGCACGAGGACGATCACGACTTGCACGACGTTCAATCTGCCTCCGCGAACGATAGTTTTGGGAGTGTGCACGCACGACCCGTCGCCTACCGCCGATCCACGGACTCCTCGCTCCAGTCTACCCCCTCCACCGAGGTCCAAACGGGACTAAGGCGGCTGGGCCAATCGCGCGACGCGGTGGGCGGAGCCAGTCGGACGAACGCGGTATCGCTGAGGGCCGCGATTGGCGAGACACTCGAGGCCGTCGATAACGAGCCGTCCTGCGTTCATCGGTCCTCCCCTCCCACTGTCCAACGCTCCTCTTTCGTACAGTTTTCCCTCCTCGTTCGCATCCAAGGCTCACCCTCCCGCGTTCGTCGTCTTGTTTCGCCTTTCTTTCCGCGAACTCGCGACGAAATTTCTTCCTGAGATTGGCGAACACTGGTCTTCCTGTCTGCAAGAAATTTGTGGTTATGGAGTAAATGTTTTTTTTTTTCAGGGCCACAGGTGACAGTTTTTCTGAGAGTTGGATGTAGAGTAGTGGTCTTGTACCTCACCGAGTTCTTTTTTTTTTATTAAAGAATGTAAAATAAATAAGCGACGAAGAACGCTGTTTTGTGCGAGCCAGAAATGTTTAGTTCCGCCTCTGACCAATTTACTTTAACTGAGTTTAATGTAAAAATGCAGTTTTACTTTGCATTTTTGTATTTTTCTATAAGTAAGGTTATCGCAGAAAATTTTACGTTCGTTTTATCTATACGTTTCATTTATTGTAAAGGTTAAAGCGAGATTTGTAAATAGATCGATCGTGTTTCTTGAATCGTACGATCGCAAGGTTTCTTAAATTACCGGTACGATTTGAAAACTTACGTTTAATTCGGAGATTTTTGTCGCGAATTAAACACTGCGACGATTTTGTAGTTTTCTTGTTGGTACTTGATTTTCCATGTAAATAAAGTGGTGAAATTTCATTTTTTTCGAAACTGTGCCAAGTTTCCTAACAAAGTTACTCCATTTAAGAAATCAGAGACACTGCATTAAGAACCTTTTCTTAACCCTACCAAACCCAAGCTGTTGGAAGCTTTAATTTAATTTCAATTAAAACAGAATTAATTGTATTTAGTGATTGTCAACAAACGAATTAGATATCGTATTTATCTCTTCTAAATTAAATTAAAAGTTCGTTTAATTTAAGTATTGGTAGCCTGTAAAAGTTATTTTACCAAATACTACCAAAGTTGGAAGCTTCGTGGACACTTTTTTAACCACGTTCTTCCTAAGATTAATTCTAAATAGTCACGCTCATCCCTCAACCTTACAAATCACATCAAATTTTGCGTTACAAATTTCTTCAACTTAATTACTGACAGCCTGCATAAGTTATTTCACGAAATACTACTAAACCTAGAAACTCTGTGGATACTTTTATAACCATCTCGTTCTTCCCAACATTCGTTCAAATCTCATCCTCCAACCTTACAAATCAGACGAACATAAATGCGACCATTAATTTAGCAATTATAATTTCTCCAACAAGATGCAAGAATTCACATTATGTGATATCCGCAGAATACATCCTACGCCAAAAATCGACTCGAACTTCCCTGCCATAAATTCGAAAAGGCAAGGTACAACGCGTCTAACGCCAAATTTCCCGGCAATAATCTTTGATCCACGGCGATAACGGTGCCCTACCTGTTTACATCCGCGTAATACACCGTCGCGTGACGTATGAAACGTTAGGGGTGGGTGAAACGTTGGCGAGAAACGGAGACAGCGAGAAACAGGGAGAGAGGAGAAGTTAAGGGTGGGCGAGAGCCTAGATCGAGGAGCCAGGGAGAGCTACTACTGCCACCACCTCCGACCACGGGTACCAACCGATCCAGCCCGTGCGTGGTGGGGACATCGTGGAAGAAGGTGGGACGGTACGAGATGGTGGCCGTTGGTATCGCCGAGTCGAATTCGAAAGAACGCTGCTAAGAATGGAAATAAGAAGGTGACTTCTCTCTTCGATACCACTCACCATTTCCTCCTACCCTCTCTTCACCCACCATTGGTACCGCCACCTTGTCGGTTGGCCCGATAGGACCTCGCTACCTAGTCCCTCTTTCCTCACCGACGTTCTGTTTCTCTCGCTTCCACCAAAGAGGAGGACATTGTGCTCGATCTACGAGGCGGCCCACTCTCGTACAAAATGGTAGCTCGCGGCGTTTTGCTCTTTTCAGCGGCGGGATAGCGGGGGGTTTCCACGTACCGCACCCCCGGTGGGCACGAGGACAACCTGGAGGATTGGTGGGCCAGGAGTCGCGGCTGTTCGCGGAAACCTGGCAGTAATGAGCCGTAGCTCGCAAGCTGCGCGAAAGAAGGAGAAGTAAATAAATAGAAAAAAGGAGAAAATGTTCGCGGAGACTGCAGCTTCTGACACGTGTGACAGAGAGAATCGGGTTAGAGAGTATTTTAAGTTTTTCATTGTTTACTGAAATAAGGAAGAATAAAAACTTTCTACTTTGTTCGTAAATGGTTTAGTCGGATTTTTAATAAACAGAAGGAGAAAATATATGCATTTGTATGTTAGGTGTAAAAATATTAGACTTTATCGGTATTTAACCCTTTCGCTGCTCGTTGAAATAAGGAAATATGCAAATTTTCCAATGTTTTCTGATTTAATTTAGTTATATTTGCGATAGAAAGATGGAAAAGTATGTTTTATATTTATCTGTAAAAATATTAGACTTTGTGTCCAGTACGAATAAATTATTGCACTCAAAATGTTGGTTAACTCATTCTTCTGAATCAACAAGTTGCTTAACACTGCATCTAACTCTTGAATTTTACACCAAAGTAGTACCTATCAATTGCTTTTAATTCACATTATTATTACTACTTGTAATCTGAATTAAGAAAAGCTGCAAATATGTAAAGAAACTCACCGTTGAAATATACAAGTATGCAAGAAAACTCAGTGCTCAAAGGATTAAAACTCAACACCTGCAATCGACTGTAAAACTACTGGCTCTTGCTATTTCAACACTGGAAATCTGATTCAAAGAAAAAGGTGCAAATATACACAAACAAACTTACTACTCAAAAATGCAAATCTGCGATGAACCTCAGTGCTGAAAGGGTTAAAATTAACTCCTGCAATCGGCATGGTACAGAAGTCCTTCTTTCTACCAAAACCAGCGATACCTACTCCTGTCTATTAACACACTTCAATATCCTTCTATTCTCCCCATAACTTTCATTTATGTCAACGCTGGAGGCTCAGAAAGGCAACGATGTCGCGGATAAAAGCTGTCCAATTCGAAAACCCCAAACGAGGTCCGCGGCCGGGCAACGAGTGGCCGGATCGTCCGAGCGACAGCCGGACACAATCGAGCGATTTCATCGTTTCCACATAGCGGTGAAAAGGTTCCTAACTGACGGCGCGAAGTGGCGTCGATTACAAAAGAATTTATAGAGCGTCCGTTTTCTCTATAGACACTCGATTCCACCCTCTCTCGCCGTCCATCGATCGCCTCTTGTTTATTCCCAAGTGGCGGCGAGGGTGAGAAAAACGAAACTGGTGGGGAATTGGCGAGTTTCGGGACCCCTTTACCCCAGTTTAATCTGATAATTTCGTTGATTCTGGTTGACGAACACATCACGTTGCATGAACTCGATGATCTGCGTGATTCTGTAAACAGAATTATTCAATTCGGCGTTCAACGTGGATTTCCAAGCATTAAACTCGATGAGTCGCGCAAGTCAGTCAATTACAGCGTGGTAATCTGCTTGTTCGAAGATTTTCGAGGATAAAAATGTAATTTGCTCGTGATTTTAACGGGAAATTGTTACACGTTCGTGTTAAGAATTTGAATGCAATTGCAAATTTCTGAGTCATTCTTCTTTCAGAAGCAACGATCTAATTATGTATGAAAGAATATTTTCTTAGAAACTTTGACTTCCTGGTTTTAAGCGTGTGATTTCACTTTCATAGGTGTAGAAAGATTTTCTAACAAGTATTCCTTCCTATCGTTATTCGGAATCCAAAGCTCGAAGAAAACGTTTAACCCTTTGGGTGGATACCGAGTTTCAGTATACGAATATAAGCCTGCAGACTGAGTTCTTTTCTGTTCGTTTCAAGACACAGGATGATATTTTAACCAACGAAATTTTGTATTCACAACGTAATTACATATTCTTGTGCAGCTCACAGTCTCAGTAAATAATTAATAGGAAATATACAGGTACGGTCATTTTCCTCAAAGATTTAAAAGCGTATTTTCGTTAGCACAATTTCATTTCCTTCAAAATTGAAAAGTTTCATTTCGAACAGATTAGATTTTCAATGAAATTTTCTTGAAAAAAATATCGACAACGTTTTTTCAATCAGCAATAAATAATACCAACATCTTCGATATCCCTTTAATTTCAGATGGGACAATTGTCTCTGATTTAAAGTCTTGAATTTTAAAAATCCTAATCAGAAATTGCATTAATTTTTATTCAAAGCAGAACATCATACTTTTTGCAACCTCAACGACTATTATTACCATCTAACAGATCCCTGAATCAATTAAAAAGACACAAGTATAGACCTCTAAACAATCGATGAAAAATCATCAGCATCGGGAGAGTCGTCATTGGCATAGTGTTTATCACACAGAAGATTTATTGCCCCTCTCTGCGGAGCAGCACGTGCTGACTC